AAATAGAAGAAAATACAGATGGTTGAAAAATGAACCCGCAATAACCATCTGAAAAACGATTATAAAGTACATAAATATATATGCACTCTCAATGTATGTAATACATTGCAATAATTCTGAAATTGAAAACTGTTGGCGGAAAAACAAACCGAAGCAAAGTTCGCTTCTTTTATCCCTTTCTATGATGGATTTTGACTTGAACACGAGTCATCGAAATTTTACTCGTGTACTTAACCCCACAAAAGAACAATCCCTCTGATTCCCACCTTGAAAGTACGTACACGATTAAACTTTACCCGACGAATCGAATTTAACTTTCTGCACCGTTGCAGGTAACTACTTTTGTTACTTACTCGCTAACAACTTCGTTACACGTTCAACGCCAAAGTACGCTAGAATAGACTACTGAAAGTTCGGCTCAATGAAAAGACGAGTTAACTATCGATTCTATATACGCAATAATTCGACAGCCTCTAACTGTAATTACCGCAAACTTATTCGATAGTCGGTATTCGCGAAGATCGGACAATGGCGAACAACGGTTCTTTCCCACGTAAATATGTCTCGATTCAACGCAGCTCTACGATTTTCCTTCGCCTTATTATTCCTTTCATTGTATCCCCAAGTAAATTTCACAGGCGTTATTTTTGGTGACTTTAAGAAGGAAGAAAAGAAAGAAAGAAAGGAAGAGAGAAAGAAAGAAGAAAAGAAAGAAGCGAAGAGAGTGAGAGTTACATCACGAGACGTACCCCTAGTTATGTCTTTTTCTCATTAACGCCGCCGCGGCGTCTACCCCTCCTCACCTTCGTGACCTTTCGCTTCTCTTAGTTGCCATTGTTCCTTCTTCTTCTACTATTTATGTTTTCTTTTCATTAACGGGCAACTGCCGCAGTTTCGTTATTTCAACTCTGCTCCCCTTTCACGTACTTCATCCACTTTAATGATTCTCATTTTCTTTCACTCGTGAACGCTTTATCGTTGAAGTAAAACAAGTAAAAAAAAGTCAACCGCTCTGTTCTTTGTATATATATATAATGTATAGGCAATTTAATAACAAGAAAAACAGAATATATTACGATCAAATAATTCATCTATACTTTGTAAAATCGCAATAGTTTTATGAAATTAACAATATGATCACATTTGATTCAATCGTGTTAAGAAAGAAAAAGAGAATGTGAAATTGAGAAATTTAATTTAATTAAGAATTTTAAGAAAGAGGGGAATATTATAGGAATAGCAGATATATTCAATTCTTATTTATTACTCTTATGAAATACAAGCAATTAGCTTGTGAATCTTTATATTTAAATTTTGGTAAAGGATTATTATTTCTAGTATCTTCACTCTAGATAGATTATAATGACAATTTTTTAAACTAATATCAAAAGAAAATGCTTGAATAAAAAATTAATATTCAATTCAACAAATTGTAATGACAAAAAAAATTTTATTCAGTAATGTATAAGATAATATCAAGAATCTTATGACCATAAAAAAAATGATCCTAAATTTAGAAACTTTATTATTAATTTCATGGGAATATTAATATATGAGTTTTTAAGGCATTAAAATATAAGTTTATCAGTATTATTATAAATTGTGAAATTTCATAAAAAAAATTTTATTCGAGAAAAATTAGAAATATCTTGACTTTTTTAAAACAAAATTAAATATTTATGATTCAAACGCGTCAAAAATATAATTTATTGATAATTTCAATGTGAACGATAAATATATTGTTATTTATTCTGTCAATTTCGAATTATAAGCCATACAAATAATTTAAATATATTAAAAAATTCAAGATTATTTGAAAATCACTGAATTCATCACTTAATTATAATTTTATAAAATCAAAAATGGTGCTACTTAAAAAGAAATTCGATTTTTTATCGAATAAATATTTTTTTGGAATAAATTTTCATTATCTCAATTTTTCATTTAAATTGAATATTAATTATTATTTTACTGGAAATATTTTCTCCTAAAACTCTTGAAAAGATCTGAAAAGACGACGGTGAATATCCTGTATAAGTCGACTAATTCGAAGAATAGAAGGAAAACATATATGCGAGCTTACCGTAATTCATCTTTGCGGCCAAATTGAGCTTGCACTCGTGTCGGGTAGAATAATCATAAGGACGAGGTTCGTTTGGACACCAAGGCACCGACGGTCCACAAACGCATTTTCCAGTAGACACGGTATTTCCGTTTTCTCCGGCGGTTCCCTCGGACACTAAGTTGCAACCAGGTTCAGACATTATCTGCCCATGCGGACAATGCCTCCTCCATCTGCCCGGGATCTCTAGAAAGAAAGGATAACCGCAAAATCAAGTTACAATTTTTCTCTTCTCGTCGAAAGTTAACAGGGGATAACGAATGGGGTATTAGGTATGAATAAATGGATCAGAATAAGCAACGTGATCGCGTGTCTACCTTTATTTATTACTTTTTCCTTTTGAGCGAGTTAGCTTACTCATCGTTATTCTGATATTCCATATAGATATATATATATATATATATGTATGTGAAAAATTATTGCTGAGTTTTCAATCATACAAATCATTATCAATTGTTCTTTAAATTCGAAATTTGAAATTGAATGAAGAAGAATCCTGCTTTTCAGTTTTTTTTTTTTTTATTAAATATTAAATTTCAAGCTAAAATCAAAAATTTTAAGAGTATTTTTATTATAAATAGAAAAATCGGATAAAAAATCGGAAAAATTATTTTTGAAATTTAATGATATGAATTGATAATTTACAAAATAAATGAAAGATTAAATGTATATCTTTTCATTTAATTTCAATTTTCAACAGTTTGATTTTATAGATAAAAAAATTTGTTCTGTACTATACTAGTTAATAAATTTTTAATTTTTAAATTTCTTCAACATTTTTACTGTACGACAAATATATATGGAAACATTTTATATTATATTATATTATAAAACTAGAGTTTTTTTATTGAATAAGAATATAATACTGAATAAATAATATACATAATAGAATAAAATCATTTGCTTAGATAAAAAAATAAAAGATCAATTCTAAAATATATAAATTTTTAACAGAGTGAAACAAATATAATATACAATGAATATCTTATAACATTAAGAATAATACAGAAGAATAAACAAATGTGATTTCATAGTATGTTACAAAAAAATTATTATATTTACTTGTCGCTTAAAAAAAAGAAACGTTATTATATTAATATCTGGCGGAAAAAGTAAAAAATAATTTAAGTAAGTTAGTATACGATTCCCCTCCAAACAAAAATTAAAAAAATTTATAAAAGATTTGTTTCAAAACAAAAAACAACAAATAACAAACAAATGAAGAAATTTTTAAATCAAATATCGCGTTAATTGATGATATCAGCAATAATATTAATATATATATATAATATAATATAATATAATATAATATATTTGAAAAAGGAATAATTAATATTTACATTATAAAAAATAATCGGTCATTAGAGTATAAGACGAATTCTTGTGAGATACAGGAGAATTGTATCGATGCGATGCAACGTTACACGAGAAAGTCCATGCAATTACGCGGTTGCCAACATTAGTAAACGGGACAAGTATAATGTATGTCAGATCGGACTAAGGCTTCTATTGTACCCAAGAGAATATAATGTGGTTTCCTAACGATACTTGCCATATGTTCTAACGACAAATTCAAATTCAATTACAAGCACCGCGCAAAACTAAATTACATCCCATCCGAGTATTAAGCGAGCGATTAAAACCTATTACGATTTTGAAAAGTAATCGTTACCGATTGAAACATCGCGTCGGTAAAATAGATAAATTTTATAGAATTGGTAACGAGATAAAGAGAAAAAACGGAGTTATTCGTTAGAAAAAAGATGATGGTCGAGTTTGCTCGATCGATAAGTTTAATAATCTAAAGGGTCGAACGTTCCGGAAATCGAATTTACCGATCAGTTTACCGATCGACCTTCTACGCTGAAGCAAATTCTAAACGCGAATTCATTTCGAGCTAATGGTTTGAATGTGCTTCCGGCTAATTGGTCGTGGTTCACCGAGTACACACAGGTAGAGCGCTCTACCGAATTGCTGCCAGACATAACGGCATGCGATGCAATGCTCTTGTCTTCTGATCAAGACAGTAAACAGTTTTATGTCAATATAATCGGGAAGCAAATTATCATCGAACCATAAAGATAATCGACTTTGACTTTCTTTTCCTTTCTCTCTTTTTTCTTTCTTTTCAAAATAAATCCCTTTTATTAAATGTTTATCTCACGCGACAAAACATACGTATATATTCACGTTTAAGATATATCGTTAAGAGATAAAACGTTAAACGAAACTAAGCTAAATGAATCTCAGCATATAGTATCTAAATAAAGATAAAAAAACATGCAGCTAAAAAAGTTTGCATTACTAAAGTTTTACTTTTGAGTTACTTTTATTTTAACTTATAAAACTTATCTCACAAAGAAAGAAAAAAATAATCAATTGTCGATAATAAAAACTGTTATATCAGTCATGGAATTTAAATTAATTAAAACTTTTTTTTGATTTGGAAAAAAACTGTTATATCGAATCAGTATTAATTGGGTAGCGTAGTATCCAATACAGTATTAAGTATTTTATTATAATTTATAATTAAAGGCACTATGAAGATCTGTAAGACTTTTAATGAAATTAAAACAAAACCGCTCATAAAATGATTACTTCGATTTAATATTAAAAAAAATATATTAATATATATTTAATATATTTAATATTTTAATATAAAATAAATATAATTGAAACAAAATATATATTTTTACACAATAATTAATAATTATTAACTATATCTTTATTTCAATTTCTGATGAATTTTTTAAAATTTTTTAAAATTTAAAATTATTCTCAACT